GAGAGAGGAGGGGGAGAAGGGAGGGTGGGGATGGAGAGGGAGGGACAGGGTTAAGGATAGAAAGAAGGGGAGGAGGAGAAGGGAGGGAGGGAATGGAGAGGGAGTGATAGGGTTAGGGTTAGAAAGAAGGGGAGGGGAAGTAGGCGTAGAGGGGTGTGTGAGAATGAAGAATGAAAGTTGGAGGTGTATGGCAGGCCAAGGTGGTATACTGGGTTTGTATTGTAGAGGGCATTTTCTATATAAGTGAGGGCCGTGTTTATTATTCAATGTTATATGCCCTGATTAAGCACAGTGAATATGTGATTGTATAGAATGAAAACATAATAAAATATACATTAAAAAAAAAAAAAGAAAAGAAAATATACATTACAATACATTCCATCCACACTACTGAAAGTGTGTTCTAATTTAGAAACCTTACAAAAATAAAATATAGTTTCTGGGCAAAAAAAAAAAAAAAAAAGTAGCAGCTTTTCAAAACAACCCTAAATATGGACGAAATAAGAGCAGCAAATGGTGCATACACATACCCTGTCAATTGCAAGATTTAAAAAATATAAAAATATTGTTCATTCAGTATGCAGAAATTTATCTACCTTTTATGAAAGAGTAAGTTTCAAAATTCATATGAAAAAAGTAATATATTAAACCAATTATCTTTTGACCTGAGTGGTATGAAGGTCATTTTTTTGAAGGAATATGCTTTATTGAAAATTACAGTCACAAGACTCTGCATGGTTCCCAATCCCTTTTCTTGTAACCTCTAGAGCAATGATGGTGACCCTTTTCGGCACTGAGTGCCCAAAAACCAGAACACGTGAAGGTGTGGGTGTGCACACGCTGGAGCACTGAAAACCTGAACACCAGCTGGCCAGAGCACATCCGCATGCTGGAAACCAGAAGAGCAGCTGGCAATGGCATGCGTGCCCACATAGAGGGATCTGCATGCCACCTCTGGCACGCGTGCCACAGTTTCACCATTATGATCCTAGAGCTTCTCTGATCATGTGACTAATAAGTGGCAACGCATAGTTTCCTATTATTTTGAATTAGGAAGCACAAAAACTGTACTGTTTAGTGTAAAGTATGTATAATTGAGAAAGGAAATCACCAATTCTTCATCAAACATAGGAAAATAGTTATGAATTTGGCCAGAATTATCCAGTTTATCACTGGAGATCCATATGTAGCAGAATTTATGTCCATGAGTAGAATCAGGACTATTAAAAATATTTAAGAGAGCAGCTCAACATCTAAAAAGGATAAGGAACATTATCTTGCAGCAATGAGCTTCATACCATTACGCTAGGGAAGAAACCAAGGACAGTAATACTCTATTCTTTCTATTAAAAACAATCAGAAGGAAAAAGCCTTAGAGCAGAAATAAAGAAGGGCCAAAGCAGAGGGTTCCTCATTTGTTACTAATGCTCATAGTAGTCCAAGGATAAAGGACACATAATGTTTCATTTCCACATCTCTGATTACCAAAAGGTAACCCATCCTATTTTATACATAATATATTTATACATACATACATATATAATATTATAATATAACAAATACTTATCCTACTTTTAAATCACTACTAAGAACCTTGTCAATAGTATATCATATTATTTATTCTATTAATCGTACACATTTACCTCCTTCAGAGGTTCTGAAACTTGTTGTGTCACTTTTTATATTTCCATCACCAAATCTGGTACTTGCTGTTACATAAACACTGTATTTCTTGTTATATTCTAAATCTGTTAATTCTAATGATAGTTCAGATGCATTGATATTTCTTGACATAATATCCCTAAGCAAACATATAAAAGAGAATTAAACAGCTAATTAACAAAACAAGAACTAATAGTTCTATATGTTGCTATGTGTGCTAAACTAGACTTTCAATTTAACACCATTGTGTTTTTCGTTAGTTCTTCATTCCACCTGAAGTAACAATTTGTAGTTTTTCCAGTACTAAAGGCATTCAAATATATTTGTATCATACTGGGTAAAAAATGTTTTTGCTCTCCTGTGAAATAGCTTTTTCATCGCAACATCTATTCCAGAGACATCCCCACCACCACCACAACGAGGCAGCACTTGGAAAGTTAGAAGGAGTGGTGATCATGCATGAAAATAGCAGAACATTTAATTCTAAGATTGGAACTCTTCTTAGAAAGCAACATAAAGGACTGGTAAAGATTCTTATGTTACACTACTAGTTCAAAAGCTCAACAATGCATAGCTATTTAGTATTTACAACATCATGCTATATGAATGAAGGACCAGAATATGGACATGAACTAATTGCAGATACCAATGCTACAATTTGTTCAGTTATTTTCCACCCTTACATTATTGAGTGGAAGTGAATTGGCCAATTGCTACTAGTGTAAGACAGGATCCACTCCATTCAATGACAATCAATAACAGTAGGTGGGAGTTTCCTAGGGAACCACTAAAAATTCTATTTGGTATAACAACATCTCGGTTTTGAAATGATGATTTCAGAATGTTTGAAGAATCTAGCAAGCATTAATTTCTAAAAACATTAGTTGTCTACATTTAAGATCAGTTAAGAATAAATTGTTTCTAATTATTCACTAATATGCATGTTTGGGGAATAAAACATGAATTACAGGGTTAAGGGAAAACATTTCTTCAATATTTAGAAAAATCTTACCAAATATAAACTGTATAATAAAGGATAATTCCATTTGGCTCAAGTGGTGGTTGCCATGACAATACCACAATGGCATCAGATAACTGTTTTACTGTGAGCAATCTTGGAGGGGAACTAGGAGCTGCAAAGTAAATATACAATATATTTCTGATGAATTATTGCTACAGCAAATTTGAGTATTTACAATATCACTAGTTACAGTTATTATATTTGAAGCTGTTTGTTTTAAAATGGCACTTAAGAAAGAATAATTTTACATGGTAGTGCAAACCATCTGTTTATTTGATTCTGAGAAGAAATAGTATTTTATGAGAAAATAGAGCAACAGGAATATCATAGTAATTCACCTTCAGTCCAAGGTTATTTTAATTTGTTTCCTAGTAATAAAATATGAATTTAATTGATACAAATCAATATAAATTAAATAAATAAATTCCCCTAGAAAAGAGAAACCAATTAACATTACAATAGAAGATGGTAAAAAATGCACCATTTTAATTTATAAATTCCAGTCTTTGTGTGTGTGTGTGTGTGTGTGTGTGTGTGTGTGTGTGTGTGTTTTCACAGCTTGAAGAATCAATCACAAGATGAAGGCTTCTCCTTTGAACATTATAGACCACTGATGGCGAACCTTTTTCTTACGGCGTGCCAAAATTGTGTGTTCACTAACGCATTCAATCCTCCCCGCCCACCTGCACATTCACATGTGCCCCCCATGGATGTGCGCACAACCTCCCAGGCTCTGGAGGCTTTCCTGAAGCCTGGGGAGGGTGAAAATGGCCTCCCCTGGCCCCCCGGAGGCGCTCCAGAAGCTGGAAATGGATCGTTTTTGAACTTCAGGTTGGCTCATTTGGGCCGTTTATTCACCCTCCCCGGCCTAGGGAGGCTTTCCTGAAGCCTGGGGAAGGTGAAAAACAGTCCCAATGAGCCAACCAGAAGTTCAAGAATTTCCAGCTTGTTTTTCAGCCTCCAAAGACTTTCTTGAAGCCTGAGGAGGAAAAAAACCGCCTCCCGAGCCCTCCAGAAGGCCAAAAATTAGCTGGCAAGTGTGCGCATGCACGCTGGAGTTGACGACTAGCATACCAGCAAATATGACTCTGTGTGCCACCTATGGCACACGTGCCATAGGTTCTCCATCATAGGTATAGGATCTAATGCTTCAGCAGGGGGTTGTACCAGAAGACCTCCAATGTCCTTTCAAAGTCTCTTATTTTGTTATTCAATATTTCTGCTGTACCTTTCTTACCTCCTTTGAGTTCCTGAAAGAGAATTCTATGTAGGTTGATGCCCACAGAGAGCCCGAGACTATAAATTCCCACAATCAAGCCTAATCTGAGAACCTGAATTGCTCCAAAACCAATGAGCTGTATTAAAAAAATAAGGAGAATCTAACTCATTGTCAGAAATGTTTATTTACTTATTGCAATCTTGTATGCACCATTTTATTTTTATGTGTCCTGTTATGATACAATACATATTCATTATATGACATATACTAGTGTTAATAATAAGTCACCACGCACTTCTATAAAATACCTGCTGGGGCTTTAATTCCAGATTTTAAAAAATGCCCCTGATTAGATACAATTAACCAAAGTTATAAACTCTGGAATATTTTAATTTTATTAGTACTTTAATTACTAGCATAGATAAAAATGTTATCAGGATTCATATTATTGGATATTCATTATGTATACCATTATAAATAATAAATATAGCCATTTGCATCAGATGATCAGATGTTTTAGTATTTTCTTGATAAATATAGGCATTTTATCATACCATTCAAGCTTATTTTAAATGACATAAATTATCATCATATCCCTAAAGCAGGTCATCACTTTAGTTATGTGTGAAATGAAAACAAGTGCTCAGCTATGAAGGAATTTGTAAAATATTTTGACTAACAGTCAGAACAGTATGTACTTCCAAGAAATTACATTCTAAACCTTTTTTTTGCTTGCATTTCATTGCTTCTTACATTTTTACTGCAAGTAGATCTCGTTATTTACAAGGGTTTATACCTTTTGAAAAGTCTGTTTATAATCAAATAAATGTAAGCACTTTGTTCCCTATCTACTGAACCGTTGTATTTCAATTTTCTATTATTTTGAAGCAGAAAAAAACCCTATTCTATTAGTCTCACCATGCTCCAAAGAAACATTAAGTGAAGCTCCCATGTTCAAAAGGTTTTCCACCCCTAATACTAACACCATTTTGAGCTTCCTTTAGCTTGCAGATGGGAATTTGTAGCTAATATTCTTCTATCACTCCAACTTAACCAACTGATATGAAAAGAACACAATAATCAGCAAGGTCAACCTTACCATCTTCATCAGTTATTATATCCAATGGCGCACTCCGAGGTCCTTGACCTTTTACAGTGCTTGAAGATACTTCAGCCAGATATTTTGTATATTTCTTTAAGCCTAAATAAAGAATATACATGTTATGTGTATATAGTGACACTTATATGCATTTTGTGTTTATGCTATTTTGATAATTTCATATTAATCAATATAGAGAAGACTTGAATTATAAAAACACAACATAAAGACTTTAATTTACAGACATGGAAATCATATTATTGACACAAATGCTAAGCTTATCTAAATGGTAGGTGTTAGTAATGTTTTAGAATAATTTAATATTTAAAATATGAATATTTTATTAATTGGGCACTAATGTTTATATCGTTATCCCCCAAGTTAATTTTATATTTATATAAATATATACATAGAGATATATGAAAGTTCTATAATATTTTAAATTTTAAATTAAATTAAATTAAATTAAGTGTTTTACAGAATAAATTGACTACAAAACATGAAAACATATTTATAACATTGTCCTGACTTTGTTCTTTCACTTTTCAGAGATAACTTTTTTAAGGTAAAACAAAATAAATATCTTTGTGGCACAACAGTGGCCGGCTGAGCTGTTGGTGGAATCTGACTGCGATGAACACTATGGGACTGCCCTGGAGGGTGAGGAAGACTCTGGGGGGGTGTTCGGAGTCAGAACTAGAGAGGCCTGTTGGCCACCAGATGGCCTCTGAGTAAGGGAGCAGTGAGGAAGAACAGAGGGAGGCTGTCCCTGACATATGTATGCGTAGGGCTGAAAGGAGGAGGGAGCAGCTTTGGAAAAAGGGTCACAGAAGGAAATAGGAGCAGGTGGATACTGATTGGCCTCTCCTGGAGAGCTTGTAAGTGGGGCGACAGGAGGGGAATTTTGCAGAATTTCATGAGTTCAAGCCTTGTTTTCATAGAGATAATTTTCTGGGCTCCTAGCCAAGGGGTTGCTTATCTCCCTCCTTAGTTGTGGCAGACAGCCAGGTCTGTGACAGTATAGGTTAGAGGTTTGGGACAGAACAATATTCTGCAAAGCAAAGGACAGTTAAAGCATTTGACATACAGTATATATTTTATATATCAAATATATTAATATATGAAATAAATAACTTTCATTTATACTACCAATGGTATTTTTTAAGCTACTGATATGACTAACTCTCTTAAGTGTCCAAAAATATCAGAAATTGACATGAAATTCAGATTTCATGTCATAATTTGGAGTTTTCTATTTAATATAGTAATGAAATTTGGCACATAAAATATAGCAGTGATCGTATCAGTGCACATTTGCTTAATTTCTTAATTCTACTTAAAAACAGAAGAAATATAATTACATATAATTACTTTGAATTATTCACTTATATGTGTTTAATGTAAGGTATATGATTGTGTTTGTTAATTTGATAATGAAAAATACATACATAGATTTGATACAGACTCATCATAACACAGCTAGATTACTGCCATGTAAAATAATAAGGCAAAATATTACCTGTAATAATTAGTGACAGATGTGTTGTGTTGATTACTCTTACTTCACTTCCATTCATCTCTCTGAGATATATGGTGTATGTCTTTATAATGCCATTGGGGACAGATGGAGGAAAGTATGATAACTCTATTACTGAAGAAGACATGTTCCTGTAAGTTATATTTTGGGGTGGAAAGTCAGGTACTGAAATGAAATAATTCAGAGAAAAATATTATATCCAAATTTTAAATGATAGTGTACTACAGGTGTGTGACATACAAAAAAATTAAAAGATATGATGATAACTGAAACTCAAATGCTATTTTGAGCTTTCATCAAATGCTATTACATTACAGAAGACAATTAAATACAAAGCAACAATACATATTACCAATATAGTCTGAAGTCTCTGATCCAATAATGAATTAGCAAGCAATGAACTATCAAAGATTTATTTTGCCTTTAGTAAATAAAAACAGAGGTACAATTTTCCTCAGTTCTGACATAGATATTTTCTTTAATTTCAAATTCAGTTAAACTACTTCTATAAAATCCTGATTTCTTTGTTATTGCTTTTAAAATAGTGACAAAAAAGAAAAAAGCACAAACAATTATCAGAAAAATACATACTTTGTCAAAAGAAAGAAAAAAACACAGAGAAAGTGCTTTTCAACAAAAAGTGATAAAAATACAAAAAAGGAAAACAAAATACTAGTACAATAATCCCAACCCTATCCTAGTTACCTATCCATCTCCCCACAGGTAATTTATGGGAAACTACATATTTATTTTAATGTACAATCAGGATTTTTTTATTTAGAAATTTCATTTCGCTATTCTCTAACTTGCCTTGTTATTCATTTGGGCCCTTGGTTTCATTATTTCAAATATAAAACTAAACATGATAAAATAGGATTATATGTATGTTATAATTGGAAAACTTGTTAATAATACCAAATCGTAAAACAACTAAGAACAAAAAATAGCATGTATTGAACTTTTTTGATATTTTGATATTTTGATATTCTGATATTTGATACATGTTTGATGCATCACAACATCCATTGAAAGAGACTCACCTCTCATCATTAAGCAAGATACTTTTCTATGATCATCAGATATTTTGAGAAATGCTTCATGGTATCATTTGTCTCATTCAAATATAGATATGTGTAATTTGTAACCTAATTATATTAGTAATTTGTAACCTAATTATATTATCTAGGGCACACAGCTCATCTCTGTTTCTTGGCCAAGGGAGCCAGCATTGCTGAAGACATTTTCCATGGTCATGTGACCAGCATGACTATACTCCAAAGGTGCAGGAAATCTTCCCACTAAAGTGGTACCTATTAATCTACTTGCATTTGCATTCTTTTGAATATCCTTTTCAATACAATTAAAATTGAATCCATAGAGACAAAAGAATATTCTAGTATTTCCACTTACCAGCTTCAGCTGTTCTTACAGATAATGGGTCAGATGACTGATTCCCATGACCAAGGCGAGTGAATGCTCTTACAGAAATGTTATACAAAGTGTATGGTTTCAACTCATTTAAAGTAAGATGTGTTGTTGTAGCATTTTTAGTTATTAAAATACTGCCATTATTAGACATGATTTCATAATGAGTTATGATCCCATTAGGTATTTCAGGTGGTAACCACCGTAATTTGACTTCTGAGGCAGTCACGTCTAATGCCTCAACATTCTGAGGTGGTGAACTGGGTTCTTTCATTCAGAAAACAGAAAAAAAGTGATTGAGTATTAGGGTGCATTCATTCATAACTATTTTAAAATACAGAATTTATTGATTACAGTAAAATGGTGTTCTTTGTATTTTTATAATACATAGACCAAGATTAGGTAACCTTTTTATAAACTAAAGACATATTAGTTGCCAGATGAGTCCTTTGGGAACAAATTTGCCAGTGTATATTTGAGCAATTGCAAAACAATTTTTGGACATGCAAATGCACCATCTTTAAACAACCTCTCCTCTAAACATGTGGAAGTATGTCCAATCTCAGCATATGCACATACATATTTTCCCCGAACACACTAATATACATATACACTTACATTCACACCTATATGCTCCCATACAGTATATGTTCTTTAAACACATCACATTCTTTCCTACTTGTCTCAGGCAAAACACTCTAGTTTTTACCATTACTGGTAGCAAAATGCAAACATTTTGAACTGTCTTGATAAGTGGAAATTGCAAGCCATAATTTAGAATTGTTAAAAGTAGCAGAAACTCGGTGATTCTCATCTTCATGGTCAATTTCCTTTATTTACTTCATCATCACAAAGTCCTTCATATCACCGCTCATGCTGATACCTCTTCTAATACCATACTTACCTTCAGTGGTAACTGTCTACCCATTCTTGCACAGATAAAAATGTGCTATTTATTTGGTTACCCTGCAGCTACATTTATGAATTAAAGTTAAGAATTAAAATTTCCCAAGTTAATGGCAGCAACCAACTCATCCAGCCTGAAGCTAGTTGATATATTTTAATATGGGAACAGTATTAAAAATAGTATTAATAGTATTAGTGCTGTCTCTTATCTTAGTGGGTTTCTAGAGCTTTCTAAAGAACTTCAAGAAATAGAAATCGCTTACAATGTAGTTTGCAAAACACCTTTTCAAAATTGTCATATTAAGCCTCAATTAGTCATACTAAACATCAGGAGAGATTGGAATATGCCCAGAAAAAAAATCTATCTCCCTCCTTCCATCCACCCATCCCTCTCTCTCTCTCTCTTCCCCCCCCCCCTCTCTCTCTCTCTCACACACACACACACACAGACATTCACACAGAAACGGCTTACATGGTTTTTATTATTTGTGCAAATGTATTGCTTAATGGGCATTGTAGATAAATCAATCATAACTGATCAAACTGAAATTATAAAATCAATATGAAAACAATGTACTTACCATCTTCAAGTGTTCTTATAAAAATATCATTGTCTCCAGAAAGTGCACTTTCTCCAACAGTTGTGGAAGCTGTTACCCTCATTTTATAATCTGTGTACTTTTTTAGGTCTAAAACAAAGATGAACAAAATCTGTAAATGAAATTTACTGTGCATTCATTTGGGCATTTTTACAGATATCTTGTTTACTCTCATAGATTTTGAGAAGTTGCTTTCAATTCTAGCACATTGCAAATATTAGGACTTACTTTAGAAAAATTATTAATTGTTATATAAAGGTGCTATACAGACAAACATTTAGCATGTGATCTTGATTGATAAAACTGCCTTTAAAATGTTTTCTTAATATTACATTTTAGGTTTAATTTTTAATAGTTCAAAATTTTTAAAAATGGCTATTTCAGTATTTTGACATTTTCCTTTTTTATTTCTTATCTCTCATATGTACACATTAAGCTTTGTAATGAGTTAATTAAAATGGATTAAACTTATTTTAAACTTACATTGTTGTTCTAATTAAGCTGTTATATGTTTATTTATAACAGATTTATTTCACCTGCAATTAAGCTGTACTTTGTTTATATTGATATTAGGAACTTTGCACTATTTAATATAGCAATCTAGTGATATTCATGATGTTCAGTGGCAGGAATCAAACATAAAAATTGTTATAAGCTTACAATACTGAGAAATTTTTAATTATCTTTACCTAGGTTTGTTTTGTCAATATAACAATCTGACTAGTCCAAATATATGGGAAGCTGAAATACATAATTATTTTCTGGTTGGTAATATTACATTGAAATATTTACAATATTTTACACTTCAAATTTTGGACTTCTCAACAAATTTTTTAAAAGTTGGTTATTGTCTTTATGTTGAATGTGTAATATATTTATTACATTTATATAGCTACCCATCTTATATGTGACTCTAACATAATAAAAAACCCAAATAATAACAAGATGTAATAAATAAAATATATTTTAAAACCCAAAAGTATAAAAAAGCTTAAGTGACTGAAAAATGTCTGGTCCAGGACAGGACCAATTGTTGCCCAACAAAGATTTGAGCAAACGCCCTCCTGGCCATGGCTACCAACCTGCTCTTTGAACAAAAGCCATGAGGATCCACAAATTGCACTCTGGTTTATGTCTGGGGCAGTACAGTTACATCCAGAAACATGTAAAGGTGGAAAAATCACCAAATCCGAGAGCCACTCTTGCTCAGGTTGAACTGAAGCCTGTTCTTCCCCATCCAGGGCCCCATAGCCTTCAAATATCAAGACACAACCTTGACAGCATACATTAGCCAAACTAGGGCCACTCAGCACCTTGATGGTACCTGACTCCGGCGCCACTGAATTGTCACATCCAGAAGTTTCATATAGATATTTAAGAGAATGGAAAGAGTAATGAGCCCTGAGAAACCCCATAACCCAGGGAACAGGCCTTGAGCTGTTCTCCTCTCCTGTCATCAATACTGACCGGAACTACTCTTGGAGAAACAAGGAGAAGCATGATATTTCCATAGATAGCTCCTTCTTTGTTGTATATTCTTATTTCATTGAAGTAAGGTTCAGTGATGGGCTATTAAATGATAGTTACATATATCTGAAATTTATATATTTGGCTCCATTTATCTAAATTTGGCCCTGTCAATATTTGACCTACCAGATGCAAAGTGTGGCTTAACAAAAATTGTCAACTCTCAGCCTTTGAAGTGGCACTTCTTTTATTATGCAATCATTGTAATAACGTAGTAGGTACAAAGCATTGTATCATTTTCTTTTTATTCTTTTTCCCTATTCATAATAGCTTGTTATTTTAAAAAAATTTCATACTCTGAATTGCATTGATGCTTTTTTATTTAATTTGTAATGTTAAGAACAATAATAATAATATAATGATAATGGTGAACGTATTCACTATAATTTTATTTCATTAAATTCTTTTTAGTCATCTATTACAATTAAAAAAAAGAATAAATGTCAAAAAATACAAATAGAGAAAAATATATCTGTTTTTAAGGATAAAGTACAATCATGGCACAAGTTGACATAATTAACGTCTACATAATTCTATTTTAAACTTATATTTCTCAACATTCATTCACTAACTCACTCTCACTTCTTCCTTCCTTCTCTCTGTCTTTCTTTCTTTATATATAAAAAATCATCCCACCTGTAATCAGTATGTGTTTTTCTGATGTAGTCAGTTGAAATGCTTTATTTGTATCCACCTCCATTGCATAAATTGTATAATGTGTGATTTTTCCATTAGGATTTAATGGTTTATCCCAAAAGAGCAAAATTGAAGATGAACTAATATTTTTATAATCTATATTTTCCACAGAACTTGGAACTACAAAAAAGAATAATTAATTTAGAAATTTAAATTTAGAAAAATTGAAAAAACAAACACTTGCAACATGATAATATTTCTGTTATAAAATTTTTACCTTGTTCACTTGTCTTAGAAATGAGAATAGCCGGTGGTCCTTCTCCAATGATGGTAAAAGCAGACACAGCAATTGCATATTTAGTGAAAGGCTGGAGTGCATTTACACGATATGACAGCTGCTCAACTGAAAGATTGATGGTATCAAATGTTTTATATTTTTTAAAAACTAAAATCAGTCATACATTTCTAATTTAGGACTAGTTTAGAGGATATCATTTCTACAAAAATGGTATAAGAGTGCAGTTTTTGTGTGTTTATGTTAAATGGTCACTATTAAAATAATTGCAGAATTGATCATCCTGCACAGCAAAGAATAAGAAACAGGAATGCTGTTTCTATGAGTGTTTAATGAAGAATAAATCGTACTGGATTCAATGTATGCTATTCCAAAATAAACTTGCATACTAGATTGACAAAAATAGATTGCTTTCATTTCTGAAGCATGTTTGCATCAGTGCAAAAAAGAAAAGTAATCTTGGCATATTGGAAATGAAAAAACAGTAACTGAAAGTCAAAAATAATAGCTAAGAATCATGGAAATAACTTTTCGGCACTATTTTATTTACAACTGACATTCAAAGTAATGAAAATAGCACCATTATCCTTTTACATTTAATGGCTCCCTTTCACATTTTCAGACATTTTTAAACCTGTCATCCAAACTTTATTTAATGGGTCATAAATATCTGTGTTTAGTCACAAAAATGCCCCTTTGATAATGCTGTGTAAGTGAATATACTGATAGCATCACTGTGTCAAAGGGTCATCGCCACCTGTTGGTTGCCCCATGTTGCTGAGTTGTAACTTTTTGACCTATTTACCTTCAGTGACATTTGGAAGCCTATTAGTCAAAAACTGTTGGGGGGAAAAAATTAAAGGTCTGCGTGGGACATGGAGATATGTTAATCTCTTCCAATCACACCTGCTTTGGCAACTGTAATAACTGATTGTCTATGCAGCTTGTGCAATGGGTCTGGCATCTTCTTTCTCTGGGAGAGAGGTCAACTGGGTGACAAGGGGCTACTAAGCTCTGCTTGTGTGGCATTTTCCCATTTGCCGAATGTGACATCAGCAAATGCCCACTAACAATACGACTGAACTCCTTGCTAAAGATACTTTGCGTAATAGCCATATGAACAATGAAGTAGTTATAGAAAACAGCTTTTTCCTACTTACCAGAATTTAAATATAGTCCTGCATCCTCATTTACAGTTAGGAAATTATCAACAGGAATACTAGTATATTTTACTGGAGAAAATTCATGTACTCTTGGGAACATTTCACCTGAACCTTCATATAAACTGGTCACTGTTTTTATTTTATTCGGTGAGGAAGATAACGCATATTCTTCTGTCATATTTGGATCCACAGATTCAGTAAAATGCTAACACAGAAAGAGAAGAAAGAAACAATTTTCCATTTCTTAACCTTAGTGACAGGAATGTAGACAAGGAACAATGCGAAAATATTAAATGTAGGTAAGTACCTTGATTTTTTCTGTCAGAATTGTATCTTCAAGGATCTCCTCTGTTTCCTCATGGAAAACTTTTACTCGGTACTGAGTGATTACTCCATTTGGTTGCTGTGGTTTTTTCCAAGCAATTCTTATAAAGCTTGCTGCTTCCTCTACTACATGCAAATCAAATACAGGTCCTGGAACTGAAATATAATGTATGTAGTAAAATTACAAAACAGCAAACATTAGAAAATGTTTAATCTTAAATTAATACTATCCAAAAAGTAACATTTATTTGAAGTTACATAATTCTGATGGATACTGCAAATGTCTGTAGTCTTGCCAAGAACACAATGGGAATTTGCTATTGTCTTCTTCTAGCCTACACTGCTGACATTCTCCAAGCTTAGCTTCCAAGCTTAATCAGGTGTTGCTAATCTACTGATTATTGTTCCCATCACTTAAAAAAAAAATCTAGTTAGAACTGATGAACTTCCAATCTGTTGACCTCATTCATTCTCCCATAACAGCCCATTCTGCCCAAGGGATATTGAGTGAAATGCCGCATCTCCCTAAAGCCCTCTCCCTAGTGAGAACTGCTCTTGAGAGCACTCTAGCTGTGCACCTGTAGGTACAATTTTGCAATTGAGATATATCCTCTGGAGGTTGTATAGCAGAGGCTATCTTCATGATTACTTTCCATTTATTGTAAAAGAACTGGAGTTGGGGTAAAGTGCATGGAAAGAACATCCTAGAAAAACATCTTGCTTTTGAAGTGAAAACTGTACACATTAAGTCATCATGTGAAAATTGAACTTATTTCAGTTAAGAGAATCTGTAACATTATCAGCTTTACTAAACAAACTTTTCTTGTAATCACTTACTGCCCTCTAGTGGACATATAGTTGTGCTGTCCTAACAATTGGGACCAAATAAAACTAAGATTGTTTAATTCATCTTTCAACAACAATAATAAAACCTTCAAAATATTGTCAGAGGACCTGCTGAATTTTATGTATTATTTCAATGGCTAATGAATGCCATGAAACTAATGGAAGACTCATTCTTATTTACACCATTATCATTTATTTCATTGTTCCTGGAAGCAAGCAATTGATCCAGTTTTACTCAACATTTAGAGCTGCACACAAATACACACCCACAACTTCCATGGGTTGCATCTGCCAACACTATCTATCCATATTAAAATATGAATATGTGTGTGTGTGTGTGTATGTATGTATATATATATGTATATTAAAATATGAATATGTGTGTGTGTGTGTGTATGTATGTATATATATATATATATACATACACACACACACACACACATATATATGACATATACAGCTTACCTCCTGCAGGTGTGAAAACTGTTATGTTAGACTTTGGGCCCACTCCAGCACTTGTTTCAGCAGCAACAAACACATCATATAATGTAAACGGTATCAGATTATTAAATGTAAATTTGAGATCTTTTGTGTTGTTATCCAAAATACGAACTGAAATAATCATTTAAAACAAAATACCAGACAGTTAAACTCTTCGAAATTATTTTAAAAGAATTTTGTTCCTGGTTATGTTAAAGAAAACTGAAACAAGCAAGTATTATAAACTGATTAGGTATATCAATTTCATGTTAATGAATATTTTTATGAAACTTGGTAAAAAGGTAAAAGACAATAACATTACAGGTGTATCCTATTAGTTGTTTAATCCAAGTTTTGGAAAATGCCTATACTTCCAGGTATTTAATACTCAATTAAATGTTACTACATGCTTAATTATGTCAGTATACATATTATTATGCATATAATTTAATTGACAATACTATGTTGGCTTGCAAGTTAATTATTAAAGATCTGACCATGCACTGACTAGAGTAAGCAAGTGTGAGGTAAATCTGGGTTTACCTGAAATTTTGGTATACTGGCACAATAGATCAGATCACTACCCTTTCAGTTAACAGGGCATTGTTGCATATATTAAATCAAATAGATTAAATTTTCAGTTTCTCTGCGTTACTAAAAATGTTAGGTGAGCACATTGATTGATCAAAATAACAATGAGTAGTATATACTTATGACTCATCTGGTGATTATGAGCCAAGGTGGCGCAGTGGTTAAATGCAGCACTGCAGGCTACTGCTAGATCAGCAGGTCAGCGGTTCAAATCTCACCGGCTCAGGGTTGACTCAGCCTTCCATCCTTCCGAGGTGGGTAAAATGAGGACCCAGATTGTTGGGGGCAATATGCTGACTCTCTGTAAACCGCTTAGAGAGGCCTGAAAGGCCTATGAAGCGGTATATAAGTTTACTGCTATTGCTATTGCTATTGCTATTATCATGGCCTGTAAGATTAACACAATAAGCCCTTCATGGCATGGGATTAGGCTGTTTGAGGGAGCACCTTTCCTCACCTTTTGATATTCCAAAAGGCCCATAAGACCTGGTTATGTGGCTAGGATCCCATTGAACAAGAGATGTTAAATTTTTGAGGGAGCCATTTTTGTTGCCTTAAAGAGGAGTGTCAAACTCAAACTGTCACAGCAGCATCACATGACACATTGGGACTTTTTTCCCCTTCACTAAACCTGGCATGGGCGTGGCCAGTGCGTGACATATCCATCCTGCAGGCCGGGAATTTGATAACCCTGTCTTAAACTATGGGTTAAAAATGGGGAAGGAAGGAAGGAAGGAAGGAAGGAAGGAAGGAAGGAAGGAAGGAAGGAAGGAAGGAAGGAAGGAAGGCACCAAGAAAATTCAGACAATAATGGTTGGATGGAGTTAATGAAATCCTGAAAAAAGTCATGTTTAAAGAACAAATGATATGGTGGACATAAAAATGGTTAACAAGGGTAGAAAGATATGAAGAGATAATGTTGTTGGTATAAAGTAAATTTAGGTATTTAGGTATAATTTTCTATCTTTGCTCATTATTTCTTAGTCTGAGTTCTGGATAATGTTAGTTATTCTGAAAGGAAATAGTATGATGGTATATAAATAAATGTTATAACTGTATAGCTCTAATAGTTTTATGAATCAATTAATGACTAAACACAGTAGATTATGAAACATGTGAACACAATAATACAAAATCAAATTAACTGTTTTACCAGTTTGCCCATATAATTCCACTTTGTAAGTAAACTTTCCAGTAACAATGTTTGGTGGCTCCCATGAAATTGAGAAAGATTTTCCTGTAACATTTCCTGTAGCAAGATTCTGAGGAGGATCTTCTGGAACTAAATGGAAAAAAAAACACCATACATATTGGGAGTGTTTATTTCATAAAATCTGAATTGTAATTATTTTTAAATTTCATCCTGATAGTAAAACTACCAGCAAATCAATGCAGTGGCCAATCCACATCAAGAGTTATAATACATGTAGAACTCAAATTAAAATGAGCATTCCTAATATGCCAACATATAAAATGGCAGATTTTTCTTTACCTAGTTAAGGAATTGATATAAAGAAAGCAATTTCTGAGGTTTTATGAGTATATAAATACTTTACTGTGGCAGTCAGATGAAAAGGGCAATGGGCTGGATCAATCATTCTTCTTCCATCTGCCCAGAGTGCCCATTCTTGGATTCATTTCATTGTATCTGTCTTTTTCATTTTATTGTAATTTGTTTGTTGTGAGTTGCCTAGACACACTGGGAGTTGGATGGCATACAAATTAATAAATTATTATTTGTCGGAGAAAAATTTATTGATGTGGTCACTAAGAGTCAAAAATGACTTGATAGCACATCATGATTTTTTTAAATCAATTGATTATAATCAAATATGTTTAATAATGAGGCAAGCTCCATACAATTTTATTTCATTCTAAATAAAAAGCTTGTGTAAATTTTCCATAATTTGTATGCATGTCCATGTTTCATTGTTAATATTAACATTTTCTCCTCAAATACGTGAACTTTCAGCCTTCAAGCCAAATTGTAGGCACTCTGTTGAAATAAGGCAGACAAAATGACACTATCTTCCTATTTTTAATGGCCAATATATGTTTAAGTATAAAATGTATTATTAGAAGCCTCAAAAAAACCTGAAAGCCAAACTTTAGACATCACTTTCTAAAAATAATCTTGGTTATGTATTTAAACTGCCTTGAATATTTCCTTCAACATTTAACTTTGTTAGTGATATCCCTAACCTATTGCTATTTCTACACAGCTGACAAAATGCTTCAGCTGCTCGAACTGTAATGAAGATTAGGTCAAACATGACATTATTCAAAGGCACTGGTGGTCATAAAAAGGACAAATATTTTGTATTCTACTAGCTGCCAAAATGAGAACAGCTGTTAATGGATAGTAATAAATCTTGCCCATGCAAAATCTGATCTCTGCTTTCTAAAGATTATTTATCATTCTTTAGAAATCTTGCCAAATATAAGGGCATCAACTATATTGTTATAAAAACAGTTATCCTTGGAATGGAGAATTAAGTCCAGCAGTTATATCAAGAAATATTTCTTACCTAAGGAACATTATCAACTAATTTGCAAGTCCCGTGCTATCTTTAGTGAAGTAGCTGGATGGCGAGCACTCACTTATTTAACATATAGTTGCTGTATTTTTATTTGTGATTGGGTTACTAAGCATTTTGATTTGAATAGATGGAAGGTAAAATTGGTTACTTCTTTATAAAAGTATCATGAGTTGTCCTGTATTTATGAAGGACTTCATTATTTCCTTCTTCAATTAAGGAAACTAAGCCAATATTAAGCTTAAACTGTCATGTGTCATGTGACATCACATGACGTATCACAATGTTTTTTTGGCTTTGTGGAACCAAGGTGGGCTTGGCCTGTGTGTGATGCATCCAGGCCGTTTGTCACCCCTGAACTAGAAGAAAATGTGTGCTTTAGTAGCATTGTAAAGCAAATCTTTCCATCTGATTTAAATAAATTGATCTTTCTCAAAATATGGGCAATATGAACTGAAAAGACAGTGGAGATTAGGGAAATGTACAAATCCTAATCAGATTGGATTTGAAATTGGATCTGAAATTAAGATAGAATACTCTGTTACACAGACTACTTTTTCTCATTATAAATTATCTTTCTCTCCATTGTTTGTCTGTTGAAATCAAAGTATAATAAGCAGATGGAAAATATTCTACTATAACTCTAATTAATTAGTTTACTGTTTTGAATATTGATCATTTTAAATACTAATTTGTACTTCATGTCCCCTTCCCTTCCATGTATGGGCTGGAGAAACTGACTGTAAAGACTCAGAGGGAGATAAGAAACCTACTCATCGGTATAGAACAGTGATGGTGAACTTTTGCAGCACCGAGTGCCCAAAGAGAGGTGCACAGGCATGTGCATGCCAGCCATCTGGTCTGTGGGTTTCCAGAGCACATATGCGGACCAGCCAGCTGGTCTTTGCGCACCGGAAACCCGAAGTCCAGCTGGCTGGTGCATGCATGCCAGAAACCCAAAGAACAGCTGTCCAGTATGCATGCTGATCTTCGGGTTTCCGGCACTCTAGCACACATGAAAACCAAAAGAACAGCTGGTGATGGTGCGCATGCTCATAGAAAGGGCTCTGTATGCTACCTCTGGCATGTGTGCCATAGATTTGCCATCACAGGTTTATAAGATAATGTATATCATGAAGATTTAAAAACTTCAATATAATTAAATTTATATTGCAAAAAAAGTCTTTTTATTTCAACGTGCTTCAGATGATGCACCACATGTGTCTTATATAATTAAATAAAATGCAAATTTCCTACACTGAACCAACCACAATTTTCATTCAGATTTCTCCCTGACACCCATACCTTCTCATTGCAGCATTTCTCTGTAGGACAGATCCTTTATTCTCTGAAGTCCCTGGGACAACAGAAGAATGAAATTTGATCCATTCCTTATATAAGGACATACCCAAAAATATATTTCTGGAAGATAAATTGTCCTATGATACATTCTGAAAGATATTTATTCAAACTTTGCCAATTGCAAATGCTGTCCATATTGATTTCCCTTCTTAACTTTGTTACCTGAAGAATATATACCTGATTCTGGTGTCCTGACAATTGCACTGTCAATATAACCTGCTTCAGTGGTTACTGCTGAAACTTCAAAAAGGTATGTTGTGTATGGCCTAAGATTAGTCACAACAAAACTGACAGGTTCATTCCAGACTGAACTCATTGCCTTGGGAGAGACTGTACTTGAGGTAAACGTAGTGGTTTTACTAGATGTAGTTGAAGGAGTGGTAGTACTCCATAAAAATGATTCACTGTTATCCTGTGAAGACAAACATTGAAATAAAAACAATTATTTTTGTGGGTGTTTTTATTGTTTTTATATTTTAATTGTTTTACTATGAATTTTGAACTGAAACATGGACAGTCCTGAAGAATCAACTTTTATTTTTATCTATAACTAGCATGTTTTACATACTCACAGTGCATTCTGGTAATCTGCCAGACAAAAGGTCTTCCACTTTAACAGAGACATCCTTCACTATTATTCCACTTCTTGCATGCTTTACACTAATTTTGAAACTAGTTATTTTCCCATTTGGCTGTTGTGGCAAGAACCAAATCAGATTTACAGCTGAGTGGTTGAAAGCTTCAACTGTGAGATTTACCACTTTACCAGGTGCTTGGAAAGAAGCAGCAAAATAAAAAAGAAAGAAAGAAAGAATGTATTTGACTTATTTTAAAGAGTCTATTAAACATAAATGACAGGTTTCCTTAGTCCCTGGACAGAACAAGATTTTCAAGTTCTGGGAAAATTTTATCTACAGCAAACTATGTAATATATAATTATTGTATATTTTAGAATTAGAATTGAAAAGATTATTGGTTATACATAACTATTTGAATGTAAACAATGGTATACATTTGGATACACTTGCTTAAATATTAATAAAATATTTGTCATTTTTTTAAAAATCAGCTGTTAAATTGTCAAAGTTTTTTGCAATTTCTTCAGGAATATTTGTTGAAAGTTTGTCATTTCAGTGAACCTGTCATACTAAATGTCAACAAATAACAAAATCTAAGTTTACAGAATAAGCTTAAATCTGAAGATAAATTTAGCATTGTATTATTAAATTGTATTAAGTTTTCAACAGTGTATAAATTGAAAGGACTGACTTTTAAGTGTATTTGACTGAATTTATGTAATGCAAGTTTCTATCCACATATTGTATATGTAATAAACTTTTCATTTAAAAAGAAAAATAATGTTCTCATAATAAACATGTTTTAGCACAATTTGGCTCTTCAGATCCAAGCATATCTCACTTTTATGTAGCCTGACAAGATTACTAAGAGATATTATAAACCAAGTTACCACTTTCTGCAGTTTGAAAGAGAAATGGCACACTAAATATTCCAATGCCAGCACTATTTTCAGCAGCAACCTGCAAGAGGACAAAATCAGTGAGAACTAAGATTGCATTTTAAGTGAAACAAATAATATTCATGTAAATGACCAAATTCACATATGCTTCTGTGAGGAAACAGTACCCAATAAAAACATAAGATGGAAGTCATTTGAATGCTCTCAACAAGTTCTTTACTAAGTGATATGCATGGTATGAAAGATTCCTTTTTTCTCAATGAAATTAAAATGTGTGTGATAAACATCCATATCTTGCCATTATGGGAATTGCTCGATTTGAGATATTGCTTGAACAGTTGTGACATATTCAACAGTTATGATGTATTCAACAAATTACACTTAAATATAACTGACTTAGTACATTTTATACATAGAGACTTTTGATGCAGAATTGCAATATGAATATACTGAAATATAACCTATCCTGAAGTTATCCTATAATGACATCCTTCTCAAACTAATCTTTATCTTTGTCTTGAACAACTTATCAGACTTTTGCAATTTGGCATCTTGTTAGACTGTGTTAGACTGAAACTTTCAGGAAAGCTATTATTCTTGTCTTTTTAAACTTTTGCATTATATAAAAATGAACATCTGTGATTTTCCTCAGATATATGAGAAATATACTATTCTTATCAAATAAAATGCACTGGGACAAAAACAGAGAAGGGAAAGGAAGGGAAGGGATAGTTTATTAAAATGCATAAGAATACTATCAGCTCTGGAAATTAACATACTTTCTCACTGTATTAAATGATTAAATGCAAAGCTTTCTACTAGAGAGCACAACTAAAGTGAAACTGAGGTGAAATTACATGCCTGCAGTTAGATTTACATTAATTATAATTTAAATATGTGGCATATCTATATTTTAAAAAACGCTCTGATGCTTACAAATTTCAAAAAGTAAAATACTTCATTTTAAATATTTTAAATAGTAAAATATAACTTTACCTGGATTTCATAAGTTGTTCCAGGGTTAAGGTTGGTTAGTAGAACTTCCAAACTATCTGGTTTTGTTGTAACTTGGGTGTAAATATTTTGCATCCACGGACAAACTTCTTTATATTTAACAATGTAGGATATAATTCTCCCATTTGGGAAATGTGGTGTATTCCATGAAAGGAGTATTCCTGCAGATCCAACTTTTTCCCCAGCAAGGAAAACAGGAGGTCCTGGATCTGTATAAAATATACATTTTTACATTAAACCTAGATATTCTTTAGCTACTGGAGAATAAGGAGAGAGTTTGCCAGTTTTAAGCATCAAAGAGCAGCAAATATGAAGTTGGCTTTTTTAACTTCATGAAAGATAATAAATTGCCTTTTGGAACATCAAGCACATTCTTTCTCTAAGAATTTTAATGGAATCTGCAATATTCACAGACAAACAGCTTCTGATGCCAGTTTACTTTTTAAAGCTCATTATTGAAGCATCTGTATGCAGTAGGGTTCTCTACTTAAAATTGTATGGAAGAGTTTGCCAAGATATTTTTGAATACTCATATTTTGGCAAGGGTGTTTTAAATCATGATATTTTTCAAAGGGTAATTTTCTCTTCAACTATGCAACTCTGGAATTACTTCTTTAAAATAAATCTTTTTCCAATTACTTTAGAGCAAGCACTGTGAACAATTTCAGTTGGCAAACAGAAAATTAGATACATATTTTTGAGACATTTTGATAAAACACTCAAATGCAATTTTGCCATAAACTCACTAGTTACATTAGTTGTCACTGTTTTGCTGACAGGTAAACTATACACTGAAGAGGAAACCGAAGAAACAGTCACATTATATATTGTCCCAGGAGTGGTATTCAAAATTTCAGCCTAGAATGTGAAATTAAGATTTAGAACTGCATCTCTCAATTTAAACAAAAACAAATAAAGCATTGAATAAATCAATAGTACATTCACATCACTAGTATTCATAACATTAAAAAAAACATGCATTACTCTTAGGTTTAAGCTGTCTATTCAAAAATGTTTTAAAAGCAGTAGGATCCCTCAGTTAATAGTTCGTTTCAATGGCCCTGTTTATTTGTAGGATTCTGCAGTTTTAAGTAGCACAACTAATTAGACTGTTCATATCAATTGAGATATCCTGAGATGACCTAAGGAAATATACTATCATTGTCACTGAAATATAATCTACATCAATCAACACTCAATATTCATATGAAATACCTGTGTCTTTGTAGTTCCAATAAGAAACAGAAGCAAGGAAACATGAAAAATCATGGTTTGTGTGTATGTATGCATTTATTATATATATATATATATATATATATATATATATATATATATCCAAATACTGCAATCAAATGGTGCTCCTAAAACTTTGTGATGCCTTATGAGAGAAATGTTGCCTGCATTAATGATTTAAGTCTAGATCTCCCTGGCAAGTACACAATTAATGAACTTGTATTACTCAATAGCTCAGCCCTGCCTTTGTTAAAATATTCATGAACACTTAAATGAATAGCTAGAGGTCTGAGGTAGACTTTGTAAAAGTATCATCACTGTTGTTAAGGCAACAAAGAATAGATGTTGAAATCTGCTCTCATAAATTTGGTACATGTACTTTTGCATTCCCAACCCAGCTTAAAAGCCACAAGATAGAATTTCACGCTATGCCAATTGTGCTGTTTGCGCAGCTTATAAACAAATTTGAACTACAGTACTATAAACAAAAGGCATCACATACCTGATACTCCCCACTTCCCATATCTTGGAGAGAAACAAAGCCATGAGGAGGTGCAAGCTGCACATAAAACTGTTCTACACAGCCATTGGGCAGCCTCCAGTGCAAAGAAAAAGAATGTGAGGACACATTGAAAACTGTCAGTTTCTGCGGCTTTTCAGGCTCTTAAAAGAAAAAAAATATATACATTGATCTTTCCATTAAGAAAGATTATTACCAAAACTTTAAATTCTAAATAAATTAGCTCCAGTACATAGATCAACTATCTGTGCATAGGTTATCTACTATTAAGATGTTTAAATCCCAACTTTTTTTTTCTATTTGCCTTTATGTTAGTTTTGACTCTAGGCAATTGTTTGGACAAATCCCTGAAGTTGCAGAGAAGTGGTCATCAAGAAGAAGTCACCCAGCTGGCATTGTGCCCAAGGCGGGACTAGAGCAGTGATGGCTAACCTGACTCTCCTGGCATATTATCTCTCCCTGCACTTTGCAGGGGCTGCAGGGGTTGCATAAGAACATGAATGCTCTTATATGACCCACCCACAGACCAGGGGTGGGTTTCCAACAAAATTACTACCAGTTCTGTGGGTGTGGCTTTATTTTGTGGGTGTGGCTTGGCGATCATGTGATTGTGTGGCCGTGACTAGGTGGTCATTGTCATGTGACTGGGTGGGCATGGCCAACTTAATGTCACCCAGATGGAGGGGCACCTCCCCCTGGCTTCTCCTCACCTTTCCCCTCCCAGTTCTCTTCTCATTTTGTATGTTATGGTGGAAGAGAAAGCTTTTTCAAAGTCATCTTCCCCTTGATACTAACCAATAAGATGAGATTTTGCTGTCAGAAGACTGCCTAATGTACATTCCCAACTATTGTTTAACATCATTCCCTTGGTAAGACTGAGTGGAGAGATTTATAAAAAATAACAGAGTTAGAAGAGACCTTGAAGGTTTTCTAATCCAACTCCTGCTGAAGCATGAGATGAGACCCTATACCAGCGATGGCAAACCTTTCTTGGCTCGCGTGCAATAAGTGGGGAGAGCGCAGGGGGGTCGTGTGCGGGCATGCCACACCCATAATGCAATGCGTGACCCCCCATGCACATGTGTGCACTACAGGCGCTTCCCCCCATTTTTTGCATGCTTTTTTTCGCCCTCCCCAGGCTCCAGAGGCTTTATAGGAGCCTAGGGAGGGCGAAAACAGCCTCCCCCGCCCCCCCCCAGATGCCCTCTGGAGGCTTCAGGGACCTTCAGGAGGCTTCCCTGAAGCCTTCGGAGCAGTCAAAACAACCCTCCGAGCAAACCAGAAGTCACTTCTGGTTTGCTCAGAGGGTCATTTTGAGCGCTCCGAAGGGTTCAGGGACCTTCAGGAGGCTTCCCTGAAGCCTCTGGAGCAGTCAAAACGACCCTCTGAGAAATCCAGAAGACTGTTCCCAAACTTCCGGTTTGCCCGTAGGGCCATTTTTTTGCGCTCTGGAGGCTACAGGGAAGCTCATGAAACCTCCGGAGGGCCTCTGGGGGGGGGGCAGGGGAGGCTCTTTTCACCTTCCCCAGGCTCCTATAAAGCTCTGGAGCCTTGGGAGGGCAAAAAATGGCTTTAAAAAAGGATGGACTCAGCTGGCCAGCGCGTGCATGCTGACAGGGCAGTGCCTCGCATGACCTGACAAATGGCTCCACGTGCCACCTGTGGCACGCGTGCCATAGGTTTGCCATCACTGCCCTATACTATTATGGACAAATTTCTTAAAAACCTCCAGTGATGGTATACCCACAATTTCTGAAGGCATCCAATTTCTCTAATTGTTCTGTCAGGAAATTTCTTATTTCTAGATTGGATCTGTTTGGTAAGTTTCCATCTCACAGATCCGTCTCATAGTTACTTCCAGTTGAGCCAGGCACGACCTATTCTATACATTTTTTCTTGCCTGTGTAAAATCTTACTTTACTCTCCATTAAATTGCATTTTTGGTGAGAAATGATGTTCTACAGTGGTATTCAGTTTGCTACAATTAATTTTGCAAATTGCATTAAAGCTTGAAGAATACACCTCTGCTTATACTGATAAAGATTATTCTTTTTCAACATTAAAGCATACAGTCAATCAAATATTTCCAATCCTATAATTGAAAACACATTAGAAAGGCATTTTCGAAGCAGTTAGCTTAGTGGATATTTTACTATTCTTTCTCTTCTCCTTTAATTAAATCTTTCTGCTTTATTTTTTTTTTTCTTGGACCTTATTGCAATATTCCAAATTTCTCAAAGATCTTTCACAAAGAACCAGTTTTAATTTAACTGGAATACAAAATAATCTTTCCAGTCTGGAATTCACTGACTCTCACACACGCCCCTCAGCTCCTTAACACTTCTCAATGTTTTCCTTTCCTTTCTATTATGTACAGAAATGTGCTTCTCTTTTACTGCTCATTTTCAAATTAATCCTCCCCTAATGCCTACACCTAAATTTCATTCAGGTAAACCCAAAAGACAAAAGACTTCTTTCCTAAGTTGTCAAAATGGAAAGTGCTCCAAAGGGAAGGTGATATTAGCAATTCATAAACATAATTATGAATTATGGGGACTTAACAAACTAATTAAGCAATGAGTTTGAGACCAACAGTGATACAAGCAAAAATCAGTCCTTTTAGGAAAGGCTGTCTAATAAAAACGTACCCAGGTCTTCTCTTATAATAAAATCAACCTGGACAGCAGTGGAACTTCCTCCCCTCCCTATTTTGGGGAGATTTACAAACAACTTCCAGCTAGGTTTGCCCTGCAGCCTCACCCACCCCTGCTGGAAGCTCTTGGCTGGGCAAGGTTTGGCTTTACCTTCCTCCCACACGAGACTTTGGCCAGGATCTCCTGCCTCTGTTCATCTAGGAGGCCAAGCAGCAGCAGGAAGAGCAAGGACTTCAGCAGGAAGTGGCTGCCAGTGATGCCCTCAATTGAAGAAGTGACCTGCTTGGCCTCCTCGATGCATGGAGGCAATAGGCGGTAGTTTTGTTCACTGCCTGCGAGCTCTGCGGGGCAAGCAGCCAAGCAAGCAAGCCAGGATCTTCTGGCTGCCTCTAATCTGCAGTTTACTCATGGTGGGATTCAATTTTTTTTACTACTGGTTCTGTGGGCGTGGCTTGGTGGGTGTGGTGTGGATTGGTGGGTGTGGCAGGAAAAGGATACTGCCAAATCCCCATTCCCTCCCAATCAGCTGGGAATCGGGAGGCAGAGAATAGATGGGGGCATTTAGCGGTTCTCCAAACTACTCTCCAGAGCTCATCAGAACCTGCTGAATACCACCTCTGCTCCAGGGGCTGTATAAGAGCACACCACTTTCACATGCAATCTCTGCAGCCTCAGAAAATTGAGCAAAAACGAGGACACTGGCATTCAATCAAAAATGACATTGCAGGTCAACCTGTAACACATGTATCATATGTTTACCATAACCAGATTAGAATTCATGATCTTCCAGTAGTCTGATGCTTAACCACTATGCCAAACCAATTCTCTTAAATCCCCATTATCTGTTTGTAAATGAAATATATTAAGTAAATATTATAAATAATTTAATCCCTATTTTTAATATCAAAACTTATCATTTTGCATAAGAATAACTGTTACAGTAGAAAATATTCACAGTATTCATTCTTAAATCAAGATTAGAACCTGGTCAATGGAAAACAAATCATGGATGTTTGAATATGGGTTTTTTCTTCTTGTACTTGTGTAATCTTATTCCTAAAATGTGCTTCACTTTTAGTTCCTCTATTTACAATTTTGTAACTTTCCACAGAAGTATTATGAGCCACAGTGATGCAGTGGTTAGAGTGCAGTACTGCAGGCTACTTCTGCTAACTGACTGCAATTTGGCAGTTCAAACTTCACTAGGCTCAAGGTTGACTCAGCTTTCCATCCTTCTGAGGTGGGTAATGAAGACCCAAATTGTTGGGGGCAATATGTTAATTCCTGTAAACCGCTTAGAGAGGGCTGCAAAAGCACTGTTAAGGGGTATGTAAGTCTAAATGCTTTTACTATTTCATGCAAGAAGGTGCAGCATTAATAATTATTTGCAAACAATCTTTTTTAGCATTTGCACTATTTCCAAGATAGTTGTTTATTTTCTTAGTCCATCAAATGATAAAACAATTTATACTTTTTCACAAAACCCTAGTGTAAGATGTTTTGAAACTGATTCTAGTAGCATTTGTCCACAATTTACAACATAGAAATTCACAAACCTGTCACAAATTCTGTAAAGGAAACTGCACTTTCAACACTGCCTTTTACTCTTTGCAAAGTAAAGTTATAAATGCTACCAGGAGTCAGATTTGTAATGATGTGATCAGTCTCAGGACCTAAAATAGTATATTCCTTTGTAAAAGTCTTGTTTGATACAGATGCTTTGTAATGGCTGAAGTCAGTCTCACTTGGATTCCATGTTAATTTAGCAGAGGTTGTATTTCTCAGTGTTAAGGTTAGACCACATATCTTCATTGGTTCTGAACAAAATTTGAAAAAGAGAGGAAATATATGTGGAAAAGCAACCAAATATTAAATAAATACATTTATCTTGAGTAAAACATATAGAAACTTTCTTACAACATTTTAACGTTGCTACGAGAATGAAATTAACTCTTTCAAATTCAATCTGATAATAGTTAATTCCAATGCAATGAAAGTTGAAGGCTGATATAATTCCTGTTTCTCAGCCATTTTTTAAAAATCTCATTGGATAAAACAATTGGTCACTATTTGGAATCAATCTTAATTTCTTATCTGCAATTAAGATTTTGCAATTTATCAAAATTGTTTTTGCACTCCAGGTAATGCCTGGTGTGACTGGTGTGTGTGTGTGTGTTTGTGTGTGGTGTGTGTGTGTGTTTGTGTGTGTGTGTACAGAAAAAATCTTAATTTACTTTTGGTTTAGTATACCAAGTATGATCTTGGTTTAGTAAATATGATCAAAATTATGTATTTTATGTTTGTATTATTTCTGAATGCTGTCTGGTTACATTAGCCAGTACAGATGAAGGCATGCTATGTTGGCCTCTTTCCAGCCCTTATTTTCTGGAATTATGCCATCCCTCAAGGTATTTGAAGCAGCAAATCCGATCATGTTATGTGCAGTCCTAAGAAGATACTCTGCAGTCCCCACAAATCCAACATAACAAAATGCCTAAAATTCCGTCCCTTCTGCTTGCTTTGGATAGTCTAACTCAACTGAATGGTCGTTGCTATTCAGCAGACTAAGCACCATTTCCAGGCTTATAAAACATGTCCTGCACACAAAGCAGTGGTGGAATCCAAAACTTTTACTACCTATTCTGTGGGCTTGGCTTGGTGGGCGTGGCAGGGGAAGGATATTGTAAAACTTCCATTCCCACCCCACTCCAGGGGAAGGTTACTAAAAAATCCCCATTTCCTCCCGATCAGCTGGGACTCGGAAGGCAGAGAATAGATGGGGGCAGGGCCGATCAGAGGTGGTATTTACTGGTTCTCTGAATTACTCAAAAGTTCCGCTACCGGTTCTCCAGAACTGGTCAGAATCTGTTAAATACCACCTCTGACACAAAGGTATCTGCTTTAAACATTCAGGCTCCCATGAAATCTACTAGCTTCTCAACACCAACTCTCAGCCTTTTTATCCATTTGGGGAGGGAGGCACATCATCAATGGTTCTTGAGAAACTTTGGTTTGGGATTGCAGTTTCTAACATGGTAAGTGGAATTTGTACATACATACATATAGTGGGCTTAATCATAATTTGTTCAACTCTATAAAATAATATGGCCCTTTTTAGCTAAACTATTATAATTCTGGTAAAATTATAAATTAAAGTAAATTCTAGTAAAATCATTTTATTTCTGTTTTGGAGTGACTACTGGTAGTGGTATGTATTTATTGCTGGTCTATGACTGAAGTATTATATATGAAAAACATATATCTATAAAATTATGTCTCTGTGTGTGTATATATTTATAAATGTATGTGCGTGTGTATGTGTGTGTATTGTATATGTATATACACATGTACATGTGAGGGTGGGATGGGGTGTAATTTCAGTCATAGACCAACATAAAAGTAATAACATAACAGTAAAACAGAAATAATTTGTTATTAAAATAATGTATCAGACAATTAATTACTTGTAGTAATTTTTATCTTTGCAGGGATGCTGGCAGCTTGTCCTCTTATTGTCTTTATTTGAAAAATGTATTCAACTCCAGGCATGAGGTTTTTCACTACAGCCCTGTTATCAGACATTATTGTTGTTTGAAGAGTTTTGTTGCCAGTTATCAAGCAATAAGAAAGCTAGGAAAAAGAACATATTTTCACATCATATTCTAGTAATATTTAAATACAATTTTAAAGTCATCAAGGTAGCACGGCATTGAGAATGCACTGTAGATTAGAACCAAAAATTGAATGGATGTAAGCTAGTATTCATATAGAAGTTCAGAAATTATTACAAAGAATAAATTCTATAGCAATTTCTTTTGCCAAACAAGAGATATTAGAAAATATTTCTATACTGGCATTACGAAATCCATTAAGCAATGGGCAATTACTACGAAACAATGATTCTGCAATCTTGCCTTTGCTTTATATGCTGGCCTTGCTGCTTTTCAACTAATGATCTACTTTTCCCATTATATATCCCAATACAATATGCAATCTTTTTGTTTTTTATTTTAAAAATGTACACAGATAAACCATTTAGATAAATCCACTTTCCTATGGCTTTTTAATTTCAAGATGTTAAAAGCAACCAAAGCCTAAGTATCTATGCATTATGCTTGCTTATTTTTTTAAAAAAATCAAAGGATGATTTGCCCAGCAACAGGCAGCAATCTATTTTATACCTGTGCAGTAGGAATCAATTATACTTTTCTTATCATAAGTGTATGATATGATACTATCATATGATATTCCTATCTTTTCTGGCAGCAGAGAGAGCTGTGGTGGCACAGTGGTTAGAATGCAGAACTGCAGGCTAACTCTGCACCGCCAGAAGTTTGATCCTCTCCTGCTCAAGGTTGACTCAGTCTTCTATCCTTCCAAGGTTAGTAAAATGAGGACCCAGGTTGTTGGGGAAAATATGCGGACTCTGTAAACCACTTAATAAAGCAATCTGAAGTGGTATATAAGTCTATTGCTATTTTAAGAGCCTAGACTTCTATTCCAAAGCACATTCCTGTCAGATATATTATGGAAACAATTTGGCTCTGTTTAATTTTATTTATTTATTTATTTATTACATTTATTTGCTGCCTATTTCTCTGTGGGGCTAATCTAGGCAGCTTATAACTACGCTGCTAGATCAGGCATGTTAAACATGCAGCCCGCAGGCCTGATCTGGCCCACGTAGGTCACACCATCCCAGCCCCACAAGGGCAAAAAAATCAGGTTTGATACCCCTTTGTTAGATTGTACATTCAGGCAATGAAACTGTAGGGTTGGTTATACAACAGAATATTTATTAACCTGAATTTAAGGTTTAGTGCCTTGTGTAAAAAAGCTAAGAGTATCAAACATGGGGGACATGGTGGCTCAGTGGCTAAGATGCTGAGCTTGTCAATCAGAAAGTTCAGCAGTTCAGCGGTTTGAAACCCTAGCACTACGTAACAGATTGAGCTCCCGTTACTTGTCCCAGCTTCTGCCAACCTAGCAATTCGAAAACATGTCAAAATGCAAGTAGAAAAATAGGGACCACTTTGGTGGGAAGGTAACAGCATTCTGTGCACCTTCGTCATATAGTCATGCTGGCCACATGACCATGGAGACGTCGTCAGACAGCGCTGGCTCTTTGGCTTTGAAACAGAGATGAGCACTGCTCCCTAAGTCAAGAATGACTAGCACATATGTGCGAGGGGAACCTTTACCTTTTTATCAAACATCAAAATGTCAGAATTATTTTCTCCATTTCAGTGTTTCATGAGTGTTTCCATATAAACTACACAAACATTCACTATACCTATCTTTCAGTTTATGTACAGATTATAGTGTGGGAAAATAACAGTCTGTAATAATGAATCCCCTGTGGCTCATAGTTAGACATACATTTCAAATTTCTTTTCTTTTTAAAATTAACTTTTGTTCTGATGTTCATTTTCTCATCTTTAGTCAATTTTTGTTGTTGTTTTGTTCTGTTGTTTCACTTTTATAAAAGTACCAAGAATTAATTTGGAATATTTGAAATTTTAACGCCTATATAAGAATTGCTTTTATTTATGCAAATTATCTTTGCAAGTATATTCTATCTGAGTTAGCACAACCTCATTAATTATAAAAAATGAAATTGCTTTGGAATCAGTTATTTCCTGAATCACTTATTCACTCTGTATTATGGGTGGAGTCTGAGCTTGTTTATTTCCCTCTAGAATTTAACACTGATGAAACACCTGATCATAACTTCATCCATGTTTTCAACCATGTCTTCCACTAGATCTGAGTGAAGCTTCATAATGGAGTATTATCTGTATGTTTCCAACATTCCACCCCAAAACAATGCAATACCTTTTCCATTTGCTTCATGAAGATATTAAATAAAGTAGTAGAAATCTAGGAACACCTGACTGATGCATAACCAATGCATCCAAAAGTCTAAAATATTGTCCCTGCAACCACCAATTGGACTACTTGGCGGCATAGCAATGAAGAACTTCATTATCCATTAAAGTTTTCTCACAAGGCATCCATGAGAACAACCAGTGCAATTTCTGTCCTATGTCTAGGTCTGAATCCAATTTCCACAGATCTAGTTGAATGTCCTATGGAGCTTTAGTAATTGTCATTCACCACTTTTTCAATACCCTTCCTCAAAACAAAATTAGAAAAAGGATAGTAGGAATGGTCTCTTAAGTGGACAGACTAACTTTAGAACCTTTCCTTTTAAGGAGGCATTGATTACTGAAACGAACTCTTCATTCCATCACTGGCCTGAACTAGACAGGTAAAAAGAGATAAGTCTGTATGTGGCAGAATTAATTTCACAAAGAACATGTTATATGAGACGGAGGACTGTAAAGTATACTCCAGAATTATTGTCTTAGAAACAAAGATTGGCCAAAATGAAAAAAAACCTAAAATAATGTTTTTGTGGTATAAGAATCTGTTAAAAATACAATTTAGAATTCATGTTATTTAATTTTGGTTAGCATTACCTAAATCCAAAACTATTAAAAACAAATGAATGAACTAGATGAGCCAAAAATAGGATATTAAAACACTATTATCTTTAAACAATCAATGTCTGAGCTTGTAATGAAAATTGGATGAGTGGAAATGATTAATTTTAAATGATTGGCTACACGATCCTATTTGTACACCTGAACTTTGCTAAGCAACCACTATTTCAAAGCTTTTCTCATTAATATTTCACATTTAATCTAATTTGTTCAGAAGAAGCACTCTCTTCCATGGTTTCTTGCTCTGCGGTATGTCATGCAATAAAATGACATCACTGGGATTAATATTATATGGTGGTTTCTTTCAATAAAGTATTAAAACTTCCTTTCAGAGTACCATTTAAAAATATTACATTGGCCGGAAATACATACATACACAGATACATTACAAATATTTGTTTCTGAATTATTCTAAGATGAACAAATAAATTTGTAATGGGTATTTTTCAGGTTTAGTTATGTCAAATGAACAAAACAATTAGAAATCCTACAATTCTTTTAAATATAGTTGTATAATTTTATAAATAAAGTCACTAAAGCTACCATTTGAAGAATTTTTTTTAAAGGCTTTTTAAAATTTTCTCCATTCATAAATTTTCCCATGTCCTCACTTAGAACAACTGTCTATATTCTATTTTGCTGAACTGTGTAATACAAGGGGTTGCTTTCAGCATATACTACTGAAAAAGCAAACATCTGTAACAATAAATCAGTCATAGTTTCTTTCCATTCTATTTTTCTTACCTCAAAATTATCCAAACCTCCATTGGGCAGTTTCCAAAACAAGTAAACTGTATTCTCTTCTATTCTCAAGGCTTGTAAAGCTAAAGGTGGATCTGGGTCTGTAATAAAATTAAATAGGCAAATGTAGGTATCAACGAAGTAAAAATATTCCAAATGAGATTGCTATCCATGAAAACAGTAACTATACCATATATCTCTAAAAATGTCTTTGAAATTAGCAACAGAGTACTATAACCCCTAGGCATCATGATAACAAAACTATCCAAAGAATCCTAAACAAACCAAAGACACAGGAGTCATTTATAGTGTGTGTACAAGAACTAAAAAAAAAAAAAACAGTATGTGAAGCAACCAGAGAGAATATTAAGAGAACACATTCATGAACATCATCTGGCAGGTAGAAGGCATGATGAAAATCCCTTAATTTCACAACACTGATAAATTCAGTCGCACGTTGAGATGGAAAACTGGAGACATCTTAGATAAAGATATAATTCAATTTCATCACACATCTAGACAAGAAGGATACCAGTACCAGACAAAAAAGAACAATGAAGGAAGAAACAATACACTCAAAATGCAATACAATAAAACAAAACAATTCTCCAATCAAGACTAGTAAGAAAAGCAACCACATATGAACAGCTAGCAAACTCCACTCCTCCATGCACTGATAATATTACCTAGCTTGGTAGTTAAACATCTGCCAGAAAAGAAACAACATCAGAGAATATCAAAATGGCAACAATACAAAAATGTTGTTTTTTCAATCTTGAATATTAAACATAAAGAGCACTGGAATTCCGTTTGGGGAGACAGTGTACTAAGAATGCCAGATTGGTTCAGGTTTTTTAAAGCAGCAATATAAGATCAAAACATTATTAAATATATTGATGACCCATAATCAATTGTTCAAGCTGTGCAAATTAATGATTAGCATGGATGTAAAGCTACATGCCTCTTCATCTCTACAGTAATTGCTTTCTAGTCACTACCTCTATTCTGAAATAAGAATAACTTTTGTTGTGGTTAGACACCTTGATTAGAATCACTGTGTTACTTTTGATAAAACAATGAGTAGAACAAAATAAAATAGTTTGTGACTAGATTATTTGTATAATCAAGGAGTATTTGGGGTTGAGATTCATACTGTATATATGGATTTTACAATGTGACTATGCATTCAGGTAGCCCTGTAAAACATAGTTTAAGATTTGTATTTATAAGGCATATAATTAACTTACCAGTTGTAACTCTCAGAAAAGTAGGGAAACTGTTCTTTAACCTGTTAGTAGTCACAATTTGAACAAAGTATTCTGTTCCTGAGGAAAGGCCATCAAATGTGAATTTTCTACAATTAAGGAAAATAACATTATTATTAATATCAGGATGAAACATTTTAAAGTTGGATGACATCAGACACGGACAAATTAAAACTATGATAAACTGCTGAAATAATTAATAGACACAACCTGAACTGCACAGTTTGAGTAAAAAAAACCCAGAAAAGCTAATGACTATTCACTATTCATTAAATGTCTGTAGTGATATTGATAGATTATTTCTGCCCTGCAGAAATATAGCCACAGGATTACTGTAAAACAAACAAACTACTGAAGAAAAGGAGCATGTATTATATTACATAAAAGACAGTCAAGAACAAGCATTGATATACCTAAAAATTGAAACTTACTGAATGTGGAGGAACCAAAACATGAAAATGGAAATATTGTAATAAAAGCCTGAACAGAATTCTGGCAAGGAAAAGCATATCATGGTCAAGTTCTACAAAAGATAGTTGGGGGCGTGGATAAAAATAAAACTTCACAAATGGAACATTAAAAAAGTAACTGAAGATTTGATTTTGACTTCTCAAATTACTTCTCAAACTACTCAAGCTACTCAAACTAAAGCAATCAAAGCCAAAACTGAAAAATTGTCAAATCATTCAAATTGTAGGGTATGCAAAAAAACAGAAGAAACAGTTTATCATATATCAACTTTTGCAAAAAGATTGCACAAGCTGATTATAAACAATGACATAACACAGTTGCAAAAACGATTTACTGGAATATCTGTAAAATTTATCATGTGCCGGTAATGAAAAACTAAATTAAAATATTGTGGAATTTCTGAATACAAGCTGATAAAGTCTTGGCCCATAACACCCCAGATTTAAATTGATGAAACAGTGGAATAATTAAGGTGGCAATACTATGTCATTGTAGAATAGAAGATAAAGAATTGGAGAAGGTCACAAAGTATCAGATTGTGAAAATCAAAATTGAATGATTATGGCATAAATCAGCTGTAGTCCCATTGTTTATGGGCACACTGGGTGCCATACAAAAAAATCTTACATGGTGCTTAGAAAATATGCACATTTACAAAATTCCCATCTGTCAATTAGAAAAGGTAGAACTGCTTGGATCTGCCCATAGAAAACTCCAATATAGTACAACCTCTTCAAATGCTGGAAAAGGTAGAAAGAAAAAGAAGAGGATCAACAGTAGTAATGTGTATTAACTCAGCCACAGTTATGTCATTTTCAAAAGGTACCTTTTATCTGATGATAATCTTTCTTCCTTGCTATAGTTTTTGCCAACCAAAGTAGTAATATATCCATCAACTATACCAAATGCTGGTGGCCAGGTAACAGTTATTGATCCAGAATCTTTACTCAAATTCATATATTTAACTGAGCTGGGCTCTATTAATGAAATGGAAGAGTGAAAATGATCAGTTCATATAAATCTATAAATCATTTTTTTTAAAATTGATTACAATGGAATTCAATATAAGATGACTGGCTATATAAATGTTTTAAATAAATGAATTTCCATTCAAGAAACACAAATGTTATTAATGCCTTAGGTAGCATCTATATTTTGAAGTTAACTATTGTGTTAACTCAGCCAATCTAACATTTCTATAGTTCTTTTTATGGTGTAACCCAGTTGTCCAGTTTTTTTTTTTTACCTTAACTGTATTTATTTCTTGGATATTTCTACATTAGTTATTGAAATGACTGTTTGACAGATGAATAACTGCTAAAGTTCAAACTAATTCTTCTGAACTGTGGTATGCGTTTTCATAGTTTAATGTACTATCTACTGTATAAGTTCTTCAAGGTGGCGAGGTGGCGCAGTGGTTAGGGTGAGGTTGAAGTTTATTGAAGTTTTATTTTATTTATATGCCACCCTATTCCCTAAAGGGACTCAGGGCGGCGAACAACTCAAATGGGAAGGGGAACATACAAATACAAGACAGACATTTAAAATGACCAACAACCACACCTGTCGAGAGGGCAAGGGAGCTCATCAACCCCAGGCCTGCCAACACAGCCAGGTTTTAGCGGATTTTCGGAAAGCCAGGAGAGAGGTGAGGGTCCGAATCTCCGCTGGGAGTTCGTTCCAAAGGGCCGGAGCTGCAACAGAGAAGGCCCTCCCCCGGGTCGTAGCCAGATGGCATTGGCTGGTGGATGGAACCCAGAGGAGGCCGACCCTGTGCGATCTTTGGGAGGTAATTGGCAGCAGGCGGTCTCTCAAGTACCCAGGTGCAGTACTGCAGGCTACTTCAGCTGACTGTTATCTGCAGTTCGGCGGTTCTAATCTCACCGGCTCAAGGTTGACTCAGCCTTCCATCCTTCCGAGGTGGGTGAAATGAGGACCCAGACTGTGGGGGCGATATGCTGACTCTGTAAACCGCTTAGAGAGGGCTGAAAGTCCTATGAAGTGGTATATAAGTCTAACTGCTATTGCTATTGCTAATATTTGTTTATCAAATGTAGATACTGTCCATCTTACTATCTAAGTGACTCAATCTTTACAGTGCTCAATCTTTATAGTCTCTCACTATCAGTCATGTAGAAGCCTCACAAAACTCTGATATCCACATTGGGAGAAGTTTCATGTATTGCATGGAAAAGAATCAGAAATTGCATATATTAACCAGTATGGGTTTATTTCTACCTGAAATAAAAAGGCACTGCTTCTATCAGCATATTAATTCATGTACTAAATTTATGTAAATATGAATTAAGTTAATTAAGAAAGACCATATTCTTTTTTCTATTCTAAGAAAAATAAGTTGGGTTTTATCTATTTGTCCATCGGTAAAATAAGAATTATCAGCACACTAAACTTTTACATCCAGGAATTTTTTCTTCTGGATTCTGGGCTTTCCCTGACATCTCACAAATATGCTTTAGAAGCTTAAACATCCCCCTGGAACTGTTTGTCATGGAGGATGCTCTCCCAACATGGGAAATGCTGGAAACCAATAATGTAAGGTTGGATGAAAACCTTAGATTAGTAATCCAATAAATATCTATCTAGAAATATTCCCTGTTGAATTCAATAGGACTTACAGTAGATATGCATTGGAATTCTTGTAATCAATATACTTCCTTTGAAGTCTATAATAATACATGTTGCTTAATGTAATTAAGAGTAATTTATTATAAATATGAAAATTCACAAGATGAAAAGGCAGAAAAAGGCAGGTAAATTTACCTTTTTATACAAGTAAATGATGTATAATGAGAAAAGAAAAACAAGTTGCACAATCAAGTATGTTTAAATAGAAGCTTATGAATAAAGATCTTCTAACCATCTGAAAGCCATCATGGTAGAAGAGGAAGGTTGCTTTGACTTTGTTAGTGAATTTCCTAGATAAATCTGGTATATGCTGGTATCTGATAGACCACTAGATAGCTAGGTTTAGAACTGATCCAGGAGGTACTATTTTCTCAAGGGTTAGCATTCTACAGTGTGGTAGAGAAGCAACATTTTCTACATAAGATCTTTGTTATGCTTGAAACAATAATAAATGTTACAACTAACAGAAAAGTTACACTGTCATACCTGTTTCTACTTGTATGCTTACAGGAGGGCTGTCCTTGTATCCTTCTTTTTCTGTTTTAACCATAAAGTTATATAAGAAGCCAGGAATCAAGTTGGAAAATTCTGCCACTTCTTGTGTCACCTTTTGGACCTATTGCTCAAAATTTTAAAAATGTATTATTTATTTTATTTATTAAATTTATTTGCTGCCTGTCTCGCTCTCCAGACATTGCCATATTTGTAATTAGTGGCTATGTGTCTCTAGGATCATGCATCCTTTTTTCAGGATTTTCCATATAGTAGATTTTCCATTGGTAGTTTTATGAGAGCAGAAAATGTATAAAATTACAACATAGCTAACAGCTACCTATGACATTCTCTGTGCATTCCTTTCCAAAATACACTACAGGATTCATGTAGCTTGACTCATCTTTGCTTTACCATATAGATGCTCCCATATATTGTCACTTGGACTAAAAATGAACCAGCAAAGCAATATAAGAGTAAAATATTCAGATTTGCTTTTTAAAGAATTTATTTGGCAACATACCCTATAAGTATCTGCGCAGTTTGTACATGTGACTTCATATTGCTGAAAGTTTCCTTCTGCCTGATCCCAAATAATCTGTATTGAAATATTGGTGATTCTGCCTTCATATATATTTAGCGGAACTGCAAGACCTATAAGGAGCAATAAGAAAAATACTCATCAAACACACCAAAAAGTGTGCTGAATGAATGATAGGATCCAATAATTCCCTGTTACATTATTTTTAGCAGAGGACTCAATACCTAAAGTTAAACTTAGGATACTTTGAAATATACAATTTTCTAATTTGGAGATAACTTTAAAATTGAAATAAATATATATTTTTTGTTTTGGACAAAATGTGCACCAATGCATGCTAGTGAAAATAATGTATGCAAATACAATAGAATGCTTGCAAAAATGTTCATGTTGGGGAAAATTATATATAAACCCATATATTTACAGATTCCAAGCAAATATTTTGGAAAAAATAAGAAAAGAAATCACAGAAGAATACAGAAATCAGGTACTGAATAAATAAATAATTTGAAGAAAGAAAAATAGATTTGCATATCTGCTTCTTCTTGATTTGGACTATATTCTTATGATCCTGAAGAAGTAAGTTGTTGTGTTGTTTAGAAATTCACAAAAACAGGTGCAAATGTGATGCCTATTTACATATTTTAATTATCTTTTTACAAAAATTATATGATTATATGAGAATGCACAAAATATGCATCTACTATTATCTAAATGTATTAAAGTTAACCATATCTAAATTCAAATAACTTACATGTTTTTACAGCTGGCAGGTGATGTACAGAACTTAACATATGTCTGCTAAATGTAAAAACAAAAAAATAATATTCTGTTCCTGGAGTTAGTTTTTCTATAGTTACTTTTCCATCATTCAATAAAGTAAATGTTGCATTTGTTCCTTCTTTACTTATGATGTGAATGCCATCAATTATTCCCAAAGCTGGTACTTTAACAAATAAAATCAAGAAAGTACTATGGATTTCATAAGGTATAACCATCTGTACTGGTTTGGGTTCTAGAATGGCAATAAACAGAAAGATATAATCAATGTATTATTTACAAATAACTACCAATTATAATAATAAATAGTGCACAGGGTTTTTTTTCTTAATAAAGGATACTGTTCTTTATGTCACATATTATATGGGAAATTGAAATAGGATTGACAAAAAAAACTACATTTATATACTACTCTACATTTTCAAAATTTCACTGTATTCTAGTGACAAAGCAATACATTAAAAAGTTTATTAAATCCTGGATCCGCTTAATATTAATTCTGATTCCATGATATAAATATATAAATATGTAAATATTATGATATTCATCACCTTTGACACTGTTCTTTAAAATTATAATAAGATTCTTTTTGTTTCATGTGTTTATTTTATAACAAATGCTCTACTTTTAGTTCTTAATAATAATCTGAGCAATGTAGTGTTTAAATCTGAATAAATTTAAAAAGTATATAAATCAGTCATAAAACATCTTACTAAGAGTACACTGAATGGTAGTCAAATCACTCTTATTTCCAGATATTATTGTAGCCACTCCTATATCATAAGTCATTCCAGGAATTAATGGTTCAATTTTAAATTTCTCTGTGTTGTTTACTAAAAACATCATGCTTTTATCCTTGAATGCAGTTGGTTTTACTTGAATATAGGATTCCTGGCCCTCTTCTGGGAGTTTCCAAGAGATAATCACATGGTCCTCTCCTACATCCTCTGGATGGATTAAGAGACCAGTAGGTGGTGTCACACCTAAGTAACAAAAATAATATTTTCCTTTGGGACATTAAAATTTCTTTCTTTGTCATGACACTATTTTTAAAAATTGGTGAAAGATACAGTCATGAAGAGAACACATAGTGGTTTAATCATGCAAACAGTATTTCAAAACAGATTCTTTGTTTCCAAGATTTAAAGAAAAAAATTGTTATGTGTAAATATACATTTTATAAAATGCACTTGGAGGTGTTTTAGCAACTCTAGTTTTAATCAAGTCAAAAAGTACATTTAGTTTTCCTAAAAAAGAAATAATGTTTTCTAAATTTACTCAGAAGTTTAGTTTCCTGATAAGAACACTGCTCTGCAACACAGAAGCTCCTATGCTTATTTGAAAATTAAAACAAAAATACAATTTTATAATAATAGCTTATATGAAAGCAGATATTGACATTTTATACCTACCAGACAGCATTTAGCATTCAAGGCATTATTATTAGGACTGCCAATAGTTAACTTTACCTGTTATTATTTCTATAGGATCCTCATAGCAGCTGTGAGTTCCCTTTTCAGCAACACTTTGAACATATGTCCAATATTGATTATATGATTTGACACTTCTGATTACAGCAGAAGTGTTAGTTTTTCCAAATGAAAACGTTTTCCACTTGATTGTTTTGCTATCAAAAATGTTCACTAGGTAATGATGGAAACTTGCATTGAATGAACTTGCTGGAGAATCCCACTGTAAAAATATCTCTGATGATGTCACTCTTGTTGCCTTTACATTGTGCAGATGTAGTGGTCCTAATGTTTGGAAATTGAAAAAAACAGTTCTAAGGTGAGAGTAAAAAAAAGGGACAAATAAGCAAATAATAAAAAATGCAATAATAAAAAGCAGAGGCAGAAAATTAAGCAGAAATAAATTGTATAAGCAGACATTTGTTTATATAAACTGCCTTCAACTAATTTGTTGCTGGTTTTGTATTTGAAACCTTTCCCTATTTCTAAAAGCCCCGATTCTTTTTAAAAAGTAGGAAACAATATTTTGCGGAAGAAACAGTAACGGTATTCTGACTCAAACCTTAAATTAAAATAAATTTAAGTTCCTCAGTTACAGACTAGGGATGATGTGATCAGGGTGCTGATCTGTTTAGCATAGGTCTGCTGCAGGAGTAACCTTTCCCCATCCAGTCTCTGGGCCCCAACTTACATTTTCAATTGACATTGTCTGTGAAAGAAACCAAACTGGCTTTCATAGCCTCTTTTCATTGTATGGGAATGCCAAACTTGCTTGGATATTGATCCATTACAGCAGAGATACGTACACTCAAAGATGCGTATACTCATTTCCAGTTCAGTCATTTGAAAACTAGATTTTTAATATTTTTATCTGCTTGCATTTTACCCAGAGTCACTTTTGAGGAGATGGGAGACTATATAAATGTGATTAATAAACAAATAAAAATAATGAAACCTCAGTCTAAAAGGAGATGGGTTTTAGGGAGTACTGATCTCATGAAATGTTGACATTATTGCATTAGCATCTCTATTGGAATGACATCAAATCAATTTTCTACTGGATTGATGGAACAAAAATAACAAAAGGAAAATAAACATATTCCTAGGTGATAAGATCCCGAAAGAACACTTCTACAGCTTTCATACATTTCATTCAAAAAGTACTTGCTGGAGTGGGCCAGGGGGCAACCAGGAACAGGAGGAAGAAGCGTGCTGAGTCCATATAGCTAGCTGGCTAGCAGAAGCCAGTAATGCTGGCTAGAAACCCTTTTACTTTATTGTTTACCACGTGCCAAGCTGAGACTCCAATAGAGACCTGTCCTACTCAGAGTGTGACTTCTTGTTTTGCTGGCTTGGTTGAAACTGTGGCAGGTAGCCAGCATTCTTCACCCTCTTTCTTCTGGCTTTTGAGCTTCCCAACATTTTTTCCTCAAAAATATCAATCTCAGAATAGCAATAGCCCTATAAGAGTTTTCATTTCTACATAGTTAGCTTATTTGTAGGAGACTTAAAATGAAGTAGACTTTGTAGGAGATTTAAGTAAGCTGGAGAATCATGTATGGACAACTGAGTTTGTATTGAGCAAGCTATAGTTTAACATTAATCTTATAGCAAAAAAGTAAAAGAACCAGGTTGGTTAATCAAACAAGATTCATGGGATGAAGCTGAAGGAGTTTCCCCATCCTGCCCTACCCATAGTATACAGAAAACTCTATTACTGTCTGCCAGAAGATGAGACTGGGTAGAATAGAAAAAGAAGAGAGGAGTTCCACTCTGGTATTGTAAAAACAGTTATAATTGCTTCTAGATTGTAAGGATAACACAACTTGGGTTCAACGTTCCCTCTAATTTTTTTTCAGTGTGAGCGGAAAAGTATAGTGTTTGAGAGGTAAGGATTCCATCTGAAATTGATTTTGCTAGATGTCTGACTGCAGATT